GTAGGGGTGAGTTAGTGGATGGGAGTGAGGGGGGAGGGTGAGTTAGTGGATGGGGGGGGTGAGGGGTAGGTGAGCTGTGGATGGAGTGAGGGTAGGGGTGAGTTAGTGGATGGGAGTGAGTGGGGAGGTGGGAGTTAGGTGGATGGGGGTGAGGGGTAGGGTGAGTCAGTGGATGGGGAGGGAGGGGGTAGGTGAAAGGTGGATGGGAGGGAGTGGGGAGGGTGGAGTTAGTGGGTGGGAGAGGGGTAGGGGTGAGCTGGGCAGGATGGGGAGGAGTGGGGGAGGAGTTAGGGGTGGTGGAGGAGTGGGGGAGGGTGAGTTAGTGGGTGGGTGGGAGGGAGGGGGGAGGGGTGAGTTAGTGGGTGGGGAGTGAGGGGGTAGGGTGAGTTAGTGGGTGGGAGTGAGGGGGAGGGTGAGTTAGTGGATGGTAGTGAGTGGGGTAGGGTGGAGTTAGTGGGTGGTGGGAGGAGGGGGAGGGTGAGTTAGTGGTGGAGTGAGTGGGGGAGGGTGAGTTAGTGGATGAGAGTTAGAGCGGGTGGATGAGAGTTAGAGCGGGTGAGTGAGAGGTGGTGAGTGGGGTGGTGAGTGGGGGTGAGAGTTAGTGAGTGGGGAGAGTAGCGTGAGATATTTAACGAGCGAGCGAGTTCATTAGTTATTTAATTTAGGTCATTGGCTCATTGATTAGTTAGAGCGTTAAGTAGTGTACTAATTGTGTAGTTAATTACCTAAATAAGGAGTAAACTAGTTAATGATTACTTAGTTCCTTAGTTCAATTGTTAAGACACAGAACAAAGGAAGAAGAATAACAACAAGATGAAGACGTAAACAAGACGAGAAAGAGATACAGTAAAAATAATGCAAGAAATAACAAAGAAGGAATTACAAGGCCAAAACAAATAAGAATAGGGGAAAAGAGGAAGAGCTGAAGAGGAGAAGAAGAAGATGAGAAAGAAGAAGAGGAGGAAGAGAAAGAAGAAGGGGAGGAGGAGAAAGAAGAAGGGAAGGAGGAGAAAGAAGAAGGGAAGGAGGAGAAAGAAGAAGGGGAGGAGGAGAAAGAAGAAGGGAAGGAGGAGAAAGAAGAAGGGAAGGAGGAGAAAGAAAAAGGAAAGGAGGAGAAAGAAGAAGAGAAGGAGGAGAAAGAAGAAGGAAAGGAGGAGAAAGAAGAAGAGAAGGAAGACAAAAAAGAGGAAGAAGAAAAAAAATGATAAAGAAGCTGAAATAGAAAAAAAGATAAAGGTAAACATAAAGAGAAGGCGATAAAGAGTACGAAGGATGACCTAAGAGACAACATTGGAGGCGGTGAGACAGACGACCTTACACAATGGCTCGACCAATTAGCTCACACAACCTCCAGCCAACTACAAATTGGCTCTGACTACAAGTTTAAACTGGTGTAATAATTATAACTCTACAGCCCAGACCACTCCTGTATACTTGTAATGGAGGGGTATGAGGAGGCCTTCAAACACCCCCTACATTAATACTGGAAGGGGGGAGGGAGCTGGAAGGGGGATGGGGAGGCCTTCAAACACCCCCTACATTAATACTGGAAGGGGAGGGGGCTGGAAGGGGGATGGGGAGGCCTTCAAACACCCCCTACATTAATACTGGAAGGGGAGGGGCTGGAAGGGGGATGGGGAGGCCTTCAAACACCCCCTACATTAATGCTGGAAGGGGGGTGGGGAGGCCTACAAAATCCGCTACTTCAGTATTGGACAGGGGGAGGGAAGTAGGTGGTGGAGGAGGAGTGTGAGTGGAGGGTGGTGGTGATGGTGTAGGGGAGGAGGATGGTGGTGGAGGGGAGGATGGAGTAGATGGTGGAGAGGAGTAGGAGTAATGGTGGTCATAATTTCTTTTTCATTGGTTAAACATATTATTGGTTGCACGTCAGATTTGATAAGAACAAGCATTTTTTTCCCGAAGTATATTATTATTATTATTATTATTATTATTATTATTATTATTATTATTATTATTATTATTATTATTATCTGGAGTGTTTTATCATTTTTAAAAAGAACAAATAGTTAAATAGGAATAATAATAATGTTTACGTCCTACTTGACATTTCTCAACCAGTCTTAAGTACATCCGGATTCCCAACACGAACGTAAACAAACATGATGCGGATCTACCCAGCTCGCCCACTGTTGTAGATGTTGTGGAAGTTGAACACAGAGACAAAAGAAGGAAAACAAAGACCGTGGGTTATTTTTTTTAAGTCATAAACAACATATTGTTTGAAGTTCGAGTCTAAATATTTTTCATCTTGTCTTCTTTTCATTTTTCTTGTTTTCTATTTTTTATTTCTTATTATTATTATCCTTTCGTCTTTTTTCTGAATTTTCTTATATATATAGTATATGCCCTATGTTTTTTCCTAACAAATCTCTCTTGTATTTTAGTCGTTTTTCTTATTTTTTCTTGTACACAAAGCATTTACTCCGGCACAAAAAACCACGAGTGAGAGAAAAGAGAGTGAGAGAGAGTGAGAGTGAGTTCACACACAACTCCAAATTACCAGGGGCGCAGATAGGTAGAAATAAAAGCGAGAATAAAGGAGCGGGGAGACACTAGGAAACAAATTGGACTGGAAGGCGAGTGTGTTAAGAGGAGTGGTAATTACAGGTAGGTGGTGCAGGTGAGGTGGTGGTGCAGGTGAGGTGGTGGTACAGGTGAGGTGATGGTGCAGGTGAGGTGATGGTGCAGGTGTGGTGGTGGTACAGGTGAGGTGGTGGTACAGGTGAGGTGGTGGTGCAGGTGAGGTGATAGTGCAGGTGTGGTAGTAGGGGAGGACAGAGTTGAGGTTGTGGTGTAGGTGAGATGGTGGCGAAGGGTAGGTGAGGTGAGGTGGTGGTGTAGGTGTGGTGGTGGGGGAGGGTAGGTGGTAGTGGTGGTGCAGGTGAGCGAAGTTGTCGTGAAGTTGAGGTGGAGGAAAGAGGGGATTGTGGATGTGGGGAGAAAAGGAAGGGGAGTGGGGGGTGATGGGGAGGGATGCGGGTAAGAGGAGGAGGATGTTAGGGAAGAGAAGGAAGGTGGTGGGGAAGAGACGGCGAGTGTTGGAGAAACGAAGGAGGGTGGTGGGGAAGGTTGCAGGCTGTCTCGCGGTAATGATGGTGCTTCAACTCTGGTAATGGCTGTCATCTCCGTGTATCCGTCCCCTTTTTAATGTATTTTTGTGAACTTATCCCTACATTAATCTACCAAGCGCCTGTCTTTACTGACCTGACGGAAAGTGTTTTTTTTCGTGTTTTTTAAGAGTTCCATAGTAAAATGACCGACTTTGCTGACCTAACTGAAGAATATTTTTTCGCGAGGTAATTTGTTTTCTAGCTTTGGTCACTCTTATGATTTAATGTATATATTTATTTAGATGTATATGTATATATTGACTTGTATGTTTTTAAGTTATATTGATATAGATAAATGCATTGAAAATAAATGAGAAAAATTAAGGTGTTTAGATAGTTATGTTATGGTGAAATTAAATTAAATATAAAAAAATACAATATATTAATAACTGCGAAAAAAGTTTACAAAATGTCTAGACAAAAAAGAAAGAAATGTGAACAGGTAAGCCTTCAGGTGTGAGTTGCTGCCACACAACATATCCAGGTAAAACTTGTTACCTTAGAAACTCTTTCACGGCCTCGGGGTGCGTAGGCAGGTAGCTGTGTCACAAAGTTAGGGAGCTGGTTAAATAGTAAAGAAACCGGTCAAATACTCAGGAAACCGTTGATAGAGGTAAGAAACCCGCCAAAAAGTTAGGAAGGTCTTTTCAAAATTAGGTGATTCAGTTTAAATGTTAAAAAGCCGGGGACATACTTAAAAAGCCGATCGCAAGGTTGGGAAGCCGGTCACAGAGTTAAGAAGCCTGTTGCAGGATTAGAAAGCCGGTCGTTAGTTTAGGAAACCGGCTGTAAAGTTGGGAAGCCCGTCGCGACGTTCGGAAGCCGGTCGCAAGGTCAAGGAACCGGGAGTGTCTTTCACCTGCCGCCGGTGCTGCCTCCCTCCGGCTCTACGGCTTATTGTGTCCGGCCACGACTACTTATTGCCCGACCCTGAGGAGGGGGGGGGGGTGCCTTGTTTACGACGCTCTGGGGGGCAAGAGGTACTGAGCTATGAGTGGCAAGGGATATTGGACCATGTGTCTGAGTCGCTGGATACTTGCCCGACGGTCTTTGGGGCAAGAGGCATTGGATCAAAGTGTTCAAGGGCAAGGATTACTTGGTCAGAGAGTTTAAGGGCAAGGGCTACTGAGCTACGTAGTTTAGGCTTTACGGGCAAGGAATATTGCCCCAAATGGTTTTACGAGCAATGGATACTGAACTATTGGGGGCTAAAGGGCAAGAGGATTCGGACCAAAGAGGCTTAGGGGTAAGGGGCAATAGTCCAGAGAGAGAGAGAGAGAGAGAGAGAGAGAGACACGCTGGAATATTGTGGACAGTATTGGAGAAACGTCGTGAGGCAAGACAAAGCGTGTAATGTTTCAGTAATGTTTGGGAATCGAAGTATTGAAGGCTTGCGCGAATATCTATTGTACTTTGCGTTCGAATAATTGATTCATATTCTTACTGGCTCGAGGTGAAGCCGTATTTCAAAGGACTTCCTCCTCCAGGTGTTTCAATAGGATTCATACCTCATTCCAGGGAGTACGTGTGACCTTTACCCCTTTCTTTCTTTTTAATGGGGTTTCCGTGTGTTGTAACTTTTCCTGGTGAGACATTTACATTTTCCCCTGAGATTAAAAGTGACACATCTCTCCAGGTATGAGAGATGACTCGCTCATCTTCTCGAGGCTTACAACGGGGGTGAATACTATGTTTAACTCGGGGCTTTGGATATCATATTAGTATCTTTCTTAGGGTATTTGTATAACATTGACCTAGTTATGCATATATTGATTTTGAATGACGTTTGCACTATTCCAATGTTGAAATTGTACGTGTCCTTTTTTTTTATCTTTCCAGCCAATACATGTGTTATTTTCATCCTTGCAGGGGTTCCAGTCGAAGCTGTTGTTTGGGTCCAAGGAGATCGTGGCCATTAGTTGTTCGTGGTGTAAGGCGGCTTACCACAACAAAGAGAGCTGCTTCAATATCAGCAAGATCGAGGAAACTTGTTCCCTTGGTGAGTAGTCAGAGGAAATAGTTAAGATATATATATATATATATATATATATATATATATATATATATATATATATATATATATATATATATATATATATATATATATATATATATATTATAGGTCGTAAGGTTGAGGGAAAGATCATTCTTCAGTCCGCAGTACGAGTGTGTATCTTTATGAAGGTAGTAATATGACACCAAAGTCCTCAATCTGTAGTAATATAGTTGAGGAATCAGACCGTATGTAAGTAGTCTCAGTGACAGGTGTAAGTGCACATGTTGCTTCTTGTAGTCTTAAGATAACAAGATCAACGTATCATGACCTCATCTCCTTGTCTAGTTAACATTGCTCAGGAAACTCTCTCAATGGTCCTCCTGGAAATTCTATGAAGACGTTCCATATTGAAAATGCTGAAGTAGTAAGACCTTGGAAATTACTCTTTTTACCTTGTTTATTCTGTTTACGAAGCTCAAGGTTTAAAAAACGCACCTCCTCTATGAATAGTCCAGATGGCCAGATGAAAAAAAAATCTGAATGGAGCTGCAAAGGAAAAAACAAGACCATCCTGAACCTTTAAAGGGCTTGTCGTAACATTCCCCCTCTCAATGCAGACGGTGTTTTGCTGGGGGTAGAGAGAGGGGGCTAAAAGAGCGCTCTCTAATCTTGTGCACGAATAAGAGCCACCTGAGGGTATATGTTAAAGGCGTACGTCCAGTGTATCTGTAGACGGTGTGCACGGAGGACGAAGGTCTTCAAAAGATCTTGTTGGGGCAGGGGTGGGGAGTGGTGGGGGGGGGTCATGATCGAATCGTCTTAAGCGAACTACGGGGTTGGATAAGACTAAAGGGGTTTGGTACAGTTGCGGAAATGTGTTCCTACACCCCCTGTGGTAACCCGTGTCTCCAGACGGTCAACCTATATGACATAGCAAACCTATCCACCAATCACGTCCGTCGTTACATTACCAATACCCATTAAGTCATTAATAGTGATACTACTAATGTCTCATTAGTTTGGAGACATATTTCCGCAACTCTACTCTACCCTAAACGGATTTTAAGGTTGGGTAAGGTATATTATAATTAGTGGAGACTCAGGGTTGGATAATGCATTTTGTACTTTAAAAGTCAACCTTGGTGTAAGTCTCCAGTCCAAACCTTACATGAAACCGGACTCCTTGTTTTCATCCTGGTCTGCTTTACCTAAGACTGACTGAAGGGAGTTCCGGCTTTCGAACTGGGCTTATTGACATGTGGGTGAGGTACAACTCTCTCTCTCTCTCTCTCTCTCTCTCTCTCTCTCTCTCTCTCTCCACACATACAGCGTGCGTTCTCCGATGTTATTATATATCTGAACCAAAAATTTCGAGTGCTGTATTTTGTTTCAGCAAGGCCAGAATCTACATAATTTCCTCGCTATCTTTTTTGTGGTGGAGGGGACGGAATTCCACACTAAATAACTGAGGAGCAGAGAGAGAGAGAGAGAGAGAGAGAGAGACTTTCGTAAAAGGCTACACTGTGATTTAACATCTTATTTTCCTTATATATTAATTTTTTTCTAATTTTCACAAATTATTTTTTTGCGTTTTTGTTTTGTTTCCTGCACTGTCTGCCACTCTATGGTTTAAACATATGTTCATCCACCATCCCTCACCCCACCTACACCATCCCTCACCTACCATCCTCACCCCACCTACACATCCCTCACCACCTACACCATCCCTCACCCTACACCATCCCTCACCCACCCTACACATCCTTCACCTTGCACCTCTGCATCCTCCTTACCTGCACCGTCTTGCCTACCATCCCCACTTTTCTGCGTCCCTCACCCTCACCGTCAACCCTTGCCACGTCCCTCACCCACCTGCCATCCTCCTTACACCATCATTGCCCACCTGCAGCCCTTACCCTACCCATCCTCACCACCTACCCGTCTTCCTTACCATCCACCACCTACACCGTCTTGCCACCTACCGTCCCCACCCTACGTCCCCACCCACCTACACCGTCCCCACCACCATCCCCGTCACCTGCACCATCTTTGCCCTGCACCGTCCCTCACCCACCCTCACCATCCTCACCCTGCGTATCACCCCTGCACCATCCTCACCCACCCTGCCATCCCTCCTTACCTCACCATCAACCACCCACCATCAGCCACCTGCACCGTCCCTCACCCACCTGCACCATCGCTCCTTTTCACCGTCAACTACCTCTGCACCATCTTTCACCCCACCTGCCATCTTTCACCCTACACCATCCCTCACCCTGTCCCTCACCCACCTACACATCATACCCTACCATCCTCACCCCACCCCTACACCATCTGCCCACCTACCATCCTACCCTCCCTCACCCTACCATGTCCCCCACCACCATCCTTCACCCACCTACACCTCATGCCCACCTGCCATCCATGCCCACCTACCATCCCTCACCCCTACACCATCGCCCCACCCTTCACCATCCAGCCCCACCCCACTACACCATCCTTCACCCACCTACACCATCCTTCACCCACCTACACCATCCTTCACCCACCTACACCATCCTTCACCCACCTACACCATCCTTCACCCACCTACACACACATCTCCCCCAGACATTTGTACATATCTCCAGTCTTAACTTTCCCAGGAAGAACAAGGCACTATATTTTTCACACAATTAATGACCTGAAAGTTAGGTTCTATTTATAATGGCGCAGGATGGACTACGTTGACTTAATATATTAGCGAACTCCTTGTTTGTTTTTTTTCTTTTACAAACTTGAAGCTTCTGAATTCCTCGCCTCTTAACGTTGCTTTTTAGATTCTCAATATATATTTTACCTTTTTTGTGCTTCTTTTTTGTACATCGTATTTGGGAATAGAGAAATGATCTTCATTGTAGCTATTTCGGTCACTCCTTTTGATTGGAGTTTTAATGAGACTGTTAGATACGTTCTCATGTCCCCAAGTTTAGGGAGGGAAATTTAACTTTCGATCCTTTTGAGAATCTCTGTGTATCCAAGGTTAAATTAACTAGTTAAATAGGTTCCCACATCATCACTTAAGGGGGATAATATTATGCTCTTAACTTAATGAAATCGTTCTCTTGTAAAGTTAAATGAGTCGGTTAGATTCGTTCACACACATTAGCATTTAAAGGGAAAAGTAAAGGTACGTTCATTTGAGAATCCTGTGTAAGCGTTATATAGTTGAAGTGGCATATCAATTAGCAATATTATATGGCTTAATATCTGTATATATTTTACCCTCACACACCAATACACTGAGTCAGTCTACCCTCATACTGAGTCAGTCTACCCTCATACCACCACACTGGGTCAGTCTACCTTTACACACCACCTCACCGAGTCAGTTTATCTCCACACCACCACACTGGGTCAGTCTACCTTTACATACCACCTCACCGAGTCAGTTTATCTCCATACCACCACACTGAGTCAGTCTACCCTTACATACCACCATCACAATGAGTCAGTCTTATCCTCGCACCACAGAGTCAGTTTATCCTTGCACTCAGACTTAACCAAATTACATGTCATCTGCTTTCCTCTTACCGCCCTTCAGTCCTTGCTCTGTTGCTCACACTCGTCACTCCCTGCCCTCACACGTCACTTCCTGCCCTCACACGTCACTCCCTGCCCTCACACGCCACCCCCTGCTCACACACGCCACCCCCTGCCCTCTATACCACTTAAACTCTCGGAATGTAGAGTACGGTACCTGCTGTTACAGTTGGGGGAAATAGAGGCGTTTGAGTACAGTGCCAGCCATTCTAATGCCTCTATACGCATCAAAGGCTTATATATAATTATAGTTTGTTGTATAGTCTAATAGACCATTATGCCATGGGGACTCTCACCTCCTCACCCCTCCAATCGCACCCCCCTCCCCACCACCCCTTCCCAACCTCCCTCCTCACCCCACCCCTCTCTCCACCACCTCCCCTCCCCCCTTATGGTCCATTTCGGTGTTGGAAAAATATATATAGATATATAACTAAAAGGTTCCAGGTCGGTCGTCGGGGATTTTTTTATTTTTCTTGTATTGACTAAAAGTTACTATTAGGAAAGTTAACTCCGGGTGAATTTTGGTTTCGGATGTTTTTTGTTTTGTTTAGTGTGTTTGTGTGTGTTTGTGTGTGTGTGTGTGTTGATTACCATTTGTGTTTGTGTTTGTGTTGTTTTGTGTTCAGGGCGTGTGTGTTTATTGTGTTGTTCAGCGTGTGTTTGTGTCTGTGTTTTGTACTGTGTGTGTTTGTGTGTGTGTGTGTGTGTGTTGATTACCATTTGTGTTTGTGTTGTGTTGTGTTCAGGGCGTGTGTGTTTATTGTGTTGTTCAGCGTGTGTTTGTGTCTGTGTTTTGTACTGTGTGTGTTTGTGTACGTGTGTGTGTTTATTGCTGTGTGTGTGTGTTTGTTTATTACTTTGTGTTTGTGTTGTTTTTGTGTTCAGCGGCGTGTGTGTTTATTGTGTTGTTCAGCGTGTGTTTGTGTCTGTGTTTTGTACTGTGTGTTTGTGTACGTGTGTGTTTATTGCTGTGTGTGTGTGTGTGTGTGTTTGTTTATTCCTGTATTGGTTTATTTGAGTATATATATATTTTTATTGTATTTCATTCCTCTTATTCCCATCTCCATCTCCTTCCTCTTCTTTCCTCCTCCTTGTCATCCCCCCCTTTCCTTCCCTCCCCCCTTCTTTCTCGCCTCCTTTCCTTTCTCCCCCTTCTCTACCTCCCCCCTTCACCACGCACCCACAAAAGGCTCAGGTCAGTAATCTGCCCCTAATACGAGGTAGAGCTCTACTAATTGGCCCACTTGCAGAGTTGTGACCAGGGATGGGAGGGAGGGGGTGGAATGGCGGACGGAAGGGGCAGAGAAGAATGGGGGTAGAGGGAAGGAAAGGTGACAGGGACTAGAAAAAGCGAGAATGGAGAGAAAGAGGGAGAGAGAGAGATACAAATTAGAGTTAGAGAGACAGAGATACGAATG